AGCCACCTGGGTAGTCAACTTGTGAGTCATCTATAAGTCAACTTTTAGATTATTTGTTGGTTGATCTACAGGTTATATGTATAATAGTAATTAAGTATAGCTATTACAACAAAATTGCTATAGCAGATTCTCAATTTGATTAGCTAATAGCCATGTTCTGCAAAATTGTTAGCCCGTATTACAAAATTGGTTACTAATTTTTGGCTAGAATTAATTTTTCAATTTTTTTATTACAAAAATAAAAAATAAACTTGCACTATGACAAAATTAGCTCAGAAACAATTGGCTGAATGATTTTTTAGCTAATTTGATTTAGTTTATGATTTTAATATAATTTGTATAATAAACTATTTTGTATTATAATGATGTTTTACTAATTATTATTATGATAATGTTAATATTATATGAAAATTTATAGATAAAACTATGTTTATTAACCAATAAACCTTAGCAAATATAAATTGAGCTTTTATAACTAATATTAATATGAGAATTTCTAATTTTAACCGGGAGAAAAATTACTGCCTAGTCATATAACTTAAATATATTAAATTTATTAAATCAAATATAATACGAATTTTAAATACAAAAATAAAATAAAAATTTTTTTATATTATAAGTTATCTATATATACTAACTATAGCTCTTTAGTTAAATCTAATTACTAAACCAAAACTCTAACTCTAAAATTAGTAGTAAAGTTTTGCTTAAACACTCTAACTATATTATAAGTTATCTATATATACTAACTATAGCTCTTTAGTCGAATCTAATTACTAAACCAAAACTCTAACTCTAAAATTAGTAGTAAAGTTTTGCTTAAATACTTTAACTCTAAAATTAGTAGTAAAGTTTTGTTTAAATACTCTAACTCTAAAATTAGTAGTAAAGTTTTGCTTAAGCCAAATCAAATGTGAAACTTTTTAACTAGTGATACTAGATGTATTAGTTAATATTAAATAATACAACAATATAAAACAAAAAAAAAGTCACTTACTGTTATGCTCTAACTAAAGTTGTTGTTTTATCACGTAATTTTGTAAAGCCTTATATCGATATATTGATTGCTGTCAATAGAAATCAAGTTGATTTTTATTAACAGCAATCTTTAAACATAAATTAATGTTAATACTATAATTATATATACATACATATGTACATATACTACTATTTCTAAACACAAAGTTTATTAAACTAGTAGTGATTAATCTATTTAATATTAACGTTTATAGGCCAAAACATATTTAATTCAATATTTGTTGTAATATCTCAATTTCCAAATCAAACCAAATAGAATTTGAAAATCTAAATCATTATTCAATCTTATTTCTACAGCATGTAAATTGGTTAAAATATTACAAACAGCATTTCTTTTAATTGATAATACAATACAAACAACATAATATTTAGAAAACATATTGGCAGCAAATAATAAAACTATGCTATAGATTTCTAATTATTTCTTAATTTTGCATATTGCCCTATTGTGTTCCTTGTTTTACAATTTTGGCATGTTTTTCTAGTATCTTTTTCTTGCACTTTATGTCTTTTAGTAATTTCTAAAGCTTGCAAGTGTTGCTTCTTTTTAGAATATTGATTTTTAATTTTAGTACTACTTTTTGCTCTTCTGGGTAATTAATCTCTTCGCTTGCTAATTACAGGATTCTTAATATCATATTTGATATCATCTGTAATCATGTTTGATTCTTCTTTACTTTCTTGTTTGTCCAAAATAAATCTATGACAAATGCTCATCAATTCATTATATAAACTAGTTGAAATCACTATGTCAAGTACTTTTCATATAACACCTTGTGCTCTACTATATATCTGATGTGTATTATTAACATTTCTTAATACTAGATTTATAAACTTCAATGCTTTGAATTTGTTTTAGGTAATCAAATTCATATACTGGATATTTAGTATCACTTTGATCTTGATTTTGGTTTAAATTTATGCATATGGTAATTGGAGATTGCTACCAAATATCATCACTATTAAAAAAGATATCTTTAGATTAGCATGTTGCTATAAGTCCTATATACCATTTAGATTAAGTTGAACAACATAAAACCTTATAAAAATGTTGGTATAGATATCCATAGGTTATAATTATATTACATGTATATCGATGAGACCTATCTGCTAGCAATATAACATAGTTGTTTTTAAATCTGCAAGGTATAACTACTCTCTAAATTTCTTCAATTTGATCTTATTTAATTGTCAACATAATATCAGCAAGGTAAATTTTTGCGATTTTATAATTATCTTCTCATACACCTTTAATATTGTTAATATTTATATATTCCTATTAGACAAGACAAACCATTATAGTAATGTAGATAAAAAATTGAAAGGAAGTTAATATTTAACTTGTATTATAAAATCAATAGCTATTTTATCTATTTGAAAACTATCATAACAGAAACATTCCTGCATTTGTTTACATACAGTAAATACTATTACTGGTAAAAGATATTGTGAAACAACTTTTTCTAAAGAATTAAAATAAGTTTTTGTGACTGTTAGAAGCCCAATCGTAGGAATTTGCTCTTTATATTTCTTGATTTTTGCATATTTAAACTCTTTGTCAAGTAGTTTTTGAATCTCCTTTGTCAAGTTCAAAAGTGATAAGCTCAATCGAACACAATCATGAATTTGTAATTTAAACTTTTGACCTGTTGAGTACTATTTGCACTGGCTATGAATTGATTGTTTGTATAGCATATAGCCTATTTATGTCTAAATAGATCCAGTTGTTGCTTTATATAACTACTAATTAATATATATTTTGCCTTCAAACTTTTTTATTAATTTTCAAAAATACTTGAAACTAGTATATTTCGACACTTGAAAAAAGCTTTATGAAAATCCTTCAATTCTGCTAATCCCAACTTATTTCTAAGATTTTTTTTAAGATTAAGGTTGATGTGAAATATACACAAACAATAAATAGAATCCAGAAATTTTAAACTTATTGCATTAATCATAGCTAGATCTGAATCCATGAATACAACTTTTGGTATTAAATTATTTGTGTATTTTTTAATCATTTTTAATGCCTATACAAAGCTACTTTTTGTCTTATCTTCAAGTAATGTAGTTGTGACAAGTTGTGTTTGATTATAATTGTTAATTATAACAAAGAAACAAGCCATCATATTGTATTTATTAGTATAAGATATCATATCAAAAAAAAAAACATCATAATAATGGGTTTATAAATTTTGTTGTTCAAATAACAACCACACTAATCCACATAATCGACGTTCATTTTTCTTAAATTTGGCCTCTACAAACCAATATGAATCCTCAGTTTGATGTGAATACAAATGCCTTATAAGATCTGAGACATCAGATTCAACCCATATTACTGATTTTTTTTTTGCTATTTGAATAAAATTATAAAGACTCTTTTGATAAATCTCCCTCCCAGAAAATTTTTCTCTTAAAAGATGTCCAATACTTTGTGCACTAGTTACATCATGGTGTATACAAAACTCTATAAACTCTATCATATCATCACTAAACTTACAATATTTAGTGATATTGGTTGCAGGTAAAGATACTATTAGATAATTATGCTTATCTACAAGTGTAGTAAAAATAATTTCTGTTGTATTTTTTTGAAGATTTCTATTTACTCTCCATTTGTAATCTGTTGCTCTAGATTGTCAGTTTCTCTAATCATTTGGATTCAATATCTTTTTTGGCTGATACTTTCCCGCACAACTACACTCTCAACTAATCTTATATAAAATTTTATTCTCATTTTTAATATGATTTTCAGTTCGCTTTCTATGGATGCTAAAACCTTTTTCTAATCCTACTTATTTAGAAAAGTTTTTGCATCATTCCAATTGCTAAAAAATTGATCTAAGAGAATGTCAAAATTTATTAACAAAAAAAAAAATCTGCATTTAGCAAATTTGCCATGTAGAAATATATTACCTAATATTATTTTAAGGAAAAAATATCTGATTTTTTATCAGAAAAGTCTGTATCAAATATAAGTCCATGGCCTATACCATCTTGATGATTTCAGTTATTGCATCATTTAATACATTTAATAATTCGTTTGACTCTTTATTTACTGCTTCGTTAGCATCAGTATTGTCAAATAATTCCATAACTAGAATATAAGATTAATTAATACTGTCACTATATAGCTATAAACCACTCAAAGACCATTTTCTCATATCTGCTTTATCTGGAAAATTTGTGTCAAATATTAGCCTATGACCTATACCACTTTGATAATCTTTATTTATTGTATTGTTTAAATCATTTAATATATTTAATAATTCATTTGACACTTTGTAAGTTGTAGCATTAATAGGTTCAGTATCATTGAATAATTCTATAACTAGAATGTACTATAAGATTAATTAACACCGTACAGTTATAAACTACTCAAAGGCCATTTTCTTGTACATACTTTTATTTTTTCATATACTTAAGTCACTTGCATTAACTATTTAATAAGACTTAAATTGATAAGTATTTTTGTCTTTACTGGGTTGTAACTATTTTGTTTTTACTTTTAGTACAATAAGTAACTAATATTAACTATTTAATGATTTAACAATAAGTATTTCTGTCTTCACTTTTAGTATATACACACCACTGGTGTTAATTGTTTAATAAGACTAATCAATAAATAATTTTCACTTTAACCCACTTTAGCAGTTTAATGAAACTAAATTGATTTGCAAAAAGAAGTTCGATCATGATTAATTGAAACCTTATTTATTTGTATAAATTAAAGCTTCAATTACTTACATTTGTCAAAATAAACTTACTGGTAATTCCCCCCCCTGTTAAAATAAACTCGTGGTAAATAAAGCACCATAATAGAGGAGATGTATAAATAATTCATATGATTACTGGTAATTTCTCCTGGTTAACCATAGTTATTCTCATATATAAATTATACTAATATTATTAATAATTTTTAACTTTATTTAAAAAATTATAAATACTTTTCAAAATTCCAGGCAAATTTGCCTGGAATACAGGACAACACTAGAGCATAGGGCCAATTTTACTGTTGCGTAATAGTTGAAAAACAAATATCGTCAAATTTAAGAAACTTTGTTTATATCTAGATTAAAGTTTGAGAGAATTAAAAAGAGTGGTTATATAGTAAAATTGCACAAAAAAATTTTTTGTTAGAGCTTCAAAGATAGTTTACTAGACTAAATTTCAAAATAAATATGTTTTTTGTAAAGCAACTGTTTGTTTTAAATTTTTTATGTTCTACCAGATTCTGAATTTTAATTGGCTGATAGATGTTGGAAATCATGTAACAGTAAAATCAATCCTATGCAGAAAAGCTATAAAATTAAAATTTAAAAATTAAGGCTTCAGACTTCAACAGCTTTTGTTTTCTAGTTAAGATTAAATACAATAAACTCACTCTTGTAAAGATAGCTATTAATAATTGTTGTGGCTGAAGCTGGAAATTAGGGACCTTGATTTAAAAATAAAAACCCTACCAAAATCCACTTATACTTTTTTATTATTAAAACTACCACTAAACCCTAACCTAACCCTAGAAAAAAACCCCTAACAAAAGGCCCAAAAAAATTTTGAAAATTTCATATTAAAATAATTAAAATTTCCAGCATCAGCCGTGACAATAATCATTGATATATAGTAGTAGAATAATCTCAAGAATTTATTTAAAAATTTGAAAAATAACCAGAAAACTGGAATATAATATATTAATACAAGTTAATCCAAATACAGTACAATATCTTAGCCTAGTATATGTTATTCTCTTCTTGATGAATTTCTAAACTATTAAGTATATAATTGGTATATTAGTTACAATAACATTTTCTCTTTCTTTTTTTCACAATCTAGAGGTTTAATAACTATTCTAGTAAAGATTTAACTTGCCCTAACCTCTATTTTATAAATTGTGTAGTTTTAGTAAATACTTTGTAATTATTATAAATTGTATCTAATTATACTAAGAAATTGAAAATTTGACATTTAATATATAAAAAAAGAAACTCATTTTTGACCAATCACAATTGATTATATTATATTAGCCAATCAGAACTGAGTATTTATTTTAAAATTTTGGCGCGAAGGTGTTGGTTTATGCTATCCCGCACTGTTCAATGATTTAATTTGCATGTCTCTAGCTGTCCCACAAAAAATTGTTAATTGGCCAATCGAATTTCAAAATTTTAAATAACCCTAACCCTAACTATAACTAGAGATGGGCAAATCGCGGTTTTTTCAAAAATCCCGCGCGGGATAGGATTACCAGTCGGCAAATTTTTTAATTTTTGCATTTATAGCTATTATCATAATTCCAAGGACACCTGTAAAAATTTGCCGAATAATTTTTCGGCCGATCCGGTTAAGTTATATATTTCGGGAAAAATAAGATTCACTAAGTCGTAAAATTTCAATCCTATTATTTGGCACGATCCATTTTTGTTCTAATTATTTTTCGACGAAAATCCGGGTTTAAAAAATTGTCTAAAATTTCAATTCCTATTCTTTGGCAAGATCTAATTATTTTTCGACGAAAATTTGTTTTTAAAAAATTGTGTAAAATTTCAATTCCTATTATCCATTTTCATTCAAACTAAGCCTTCATTCATTTCTAATTATTTTTCGGCGAAAATTAATTTTTAAAAAATTGTATAAAACTTCAATTCCTATTC